CACTACGGTAAATGTTGAGATACACAGCTACGAATTGCAAGGGTAATGTTTATGTTACACTTATCGCGGTGTTAGCGTTTACCTTATTGGAAATACACTATTGCGAAGAGTCCCTCTTACTCGTGTCGTTAATAAATCTTGCAACGTGATGCGAGTAATGGCCGTTATCAAGTCGACGCGCTCCATTAAATCGAGACGGTAACGTAACAGTAGTTTTCTTTTTACTTTCACAATCTCACTTGTAATCTCGGATCTTCTATGAAGTCAGCACCTTTTCAATATTTTGATATAACTGATAAGATTTTGATTCTTTTTCAAAGAGTTTTAGAATTTGATATGATCAAAAAATTCTGATATATCTGATTAAATGTAAAAAATAGAAATCTGAAGATATGGAACGTCAACATCGTTTTCATTATACGAAAATTGATAATAATTTTCTCAGGATCGATTAAAATTATATATTTCTTTGACTGGAGAATTCTAAAAGCTTTATTTTTGTTAAGTTTCCAAAAAAATATCCGAGTCTCGAGAAAATAGTTATTAATTTATAGAAACTTGGAAGATATTCATGTGAAAATTGAAAAATTGCTAAAAAAGTTCTTTAATTTTTATATTTTAGACGATGTTATTGACAACGCAATATTTGTTGAGCTATTCAAAATTAAAGCAAGAGATAGTATTTATAAAAGAAACTGACGATTTAGATTCGTTCGACCTCTTTGGATATAAACTCGACTAATTTTAGCCGATTGCTTCCAATCACATCTTAAATAGTTTCCTTGACATCGTATTTCAGATTGGCATTCATTTGATTATATCAAGTACAGTATTGATGTATATTCGTAATGTGTAGAACAATAATGGATCTTTATAAAAAAAAAAAAACAGTTCTTGTCTAATAAATAATAAATACAAATACATTTTACATTATAATTAAAACCGTATTAATAGACGTTTTATTTATTATCTATCTAAAGAAAGCAAATATATATTATTTTTAAAACTCAATTTACTTAACTTAAATTATATCGTATTTTACGAGATATGATGGAAAGAATTTCGATTGAGATGATTTAACTAACAACAAAAAATTCTAAATTGATAGAATTCCAAAATATTTCTTTCATAAAGCTTGCAATTCGTGAAGATTAAATTTAATAGGAAATGAAACATCTTGATACTATAAATCGTAAAAATATGGCACACTTCTTTTGGCGTGTCTTTAGTCTTTGCATTATACAACCTAAACTCATGTCATCTTCGCAAATTATCATTCGCATTAACACGGGCCGTAGGCGGTATAAATCGTGTCTCTCTCGATAATACATCAAAAACTTATTACTTAATGCATCTGCATACGCAAAGCTTGGCTGCACTCGTTCGAACACAGACGCTGTTCGATTAATCAGCCGAAAACAAAAACGCGTTTTTCCACCGGAATTAAGGATGTATATGTCATATGTCAAAATAACAAAAGCATGAAAATTTTGTACACTGTTCTACTATTTCTTCTGAATATCTGTGCAAAACCTAAGCATAATTTTTTTGGCGGTTTGGAAATTATTTAAGTTTAAAGTTAGTATTGATTCTTATGAAAAATCGCGTATTGTAGCACTTATTGACAAATTTGACAAGGAAAAAACATTGCCAACGAAATAAAAATTTTCACATATATTTAGGAAATTCTAATAAATATTTATGCAAAACTTAATTTAGATCCACTTACTCGTTTAAAAGTTATTTACTAAAAATTGTAGAAAAATATTCTCTCTCTCTCTCTCTCTCTCTTTGCAAATTACTCGTTTTTTTTTGTTTTTTGCATTTGATTTCAGGGGATATTCACAATCAAAAGTTTTTGTCATCAATTACGAGAAATATTAATTACAACTATTTTTTTTACGAAGACATTCTAAAAACCATATTATTTTGTGATACTTTAATTCTTTTTATAATCCGGATTTATTTATTTGATTTTTCAAACAGTATAACCGTAAGAAATATGCATTTTTTTAATTTTAGCAATTTTTTGCTACTATTATCCACCGTTTGTTTCGGATAATCGAATTTTCAGTGCGCGATGTCGCGCGCAAGCGATCGCAGGGAGACAGAGAAAGTTTCGACACTCGTATATTAAACTAATTTAAACTCTTTCTATCTCTTGTCTGCCTCTCGTTCTTTTTCCCTGCAGTTAGTAATAGCAATAAACAAACTGGACGAGAAACAAGCCGCGAGGCACGCGCTATTTGTTATCGATTACCGCGGGGTTAAAAAACAACAACGATACATCGACGGAATTGTGGCAAACATCACGATACCGTTCGCCGATTAAAATCGTGAAAAGCCAAACGACATTATAAAACGAGCATGAGCAGACCAAACGCGGCGATCGATCGTTTAATGAAAACAACGGCGCGCGTTTTGTGTTCAGGTTTTTCTCCTATCATTTTTTTTCCATCCGACATATCTCCGCCCTCTAATTTCGCTGTGCTGCCACAATCGCCCGCGGTAACAGTTACGCGTAAATAAATAATGGATACCATTGTAAGAGAGCAACGCGCGGAATATCGCGCGGTCTATCGATCATCTCGCTGCTTAATTATAGCGGGGGCGAGCGGGATTCAATTCAACCGATGGTCGCTGATTAATTCAGCACTAACCGCAGATATTTAGGTCGGTTTTATTGAAAGGTCGCGAGTTCGCCATAATGACCTCACGAATTCGCGTCGCCGGACATTTGTCCTAGTTACGAGGTGTTACAGAGATATTTTATTTATGCATTCGACAGCGAGCGGGATTGCAGAGATGAAGGATGGGACACCCCTAGGGCAAGGGATCATGACCTGTGTGAACAAGGCCTTAGACGTTATTGAGGCGAAATGTCGACAAAATAAAAATGACGATAAATACGAGTTTAATCTGATGTAAAAATACGTCGTATATAAATACGAATTACAAAAAAACGGAATAACAGATCTGATTACATTTTATTTTATATAAAAAAATATTTTTCTCTATACTTGTACGAGTTTCAACAATAATTCCCAGAAAAAAAAATTCAAACATTGTAGGATAAAGAGACCAAAAAAAAAAATTAAAGATTTTCAAATAACTTTAAATGTCCAACAATCGATCTTTTACATTTAGTTTGTTTATAATAGTTTTATGTGCAAGTATAGTTGTACAGAGACTGAAGTAACTTTTAATCGGCTTATGCATTATTAGAAAAGACATTTTATTCAAAGAGTTTGCGATAGAAACAACATAAATGATAAAGTCGAAAAGTAATTGAAATAACCGCAAATGTTCTCGGATCCGATAAATAAATTATAATAGCTAACCACAAATATACGTGGGATGATTGACGGATGTGAATCGCCAAATGCATCTGTCAAATCTGTAGGTTTAATTAATTAATTAGAATCGTTGTCATGGTACGAAATGACGTGCAGAAGTGCGAGGTAAACCGCTATGCAATCAAATGAAAAGCAAACATACGGTATATACGGGGTGTTCGAATGATATCAGCATAATCGAGTAACAGCACGCGATGCGAAATGGCAGCGCATATGGTAATGTAACCTTCTTGTAAATGTAATCCTAATGTAATAATTCTAAATCCGGAATAAATCCTTGATAATCGTACGTAACCTGGCATTGATCCATAACTCCATGTGCTGATAGGTAAACACGTATTAATTAAGCGTGCTTCTTATAAAGCCAATATAAAATTGTGAAATTAATGTATCTTTAAATTCGATATATATATATATATATATTTAAAAATCAAAAATATACAGATTTATTGAAGAAGTATTGTACTCTACAAAACAAAACATACAAAAATCTCAAGATAAATAATTTGCTGAAACAAGGAATTTTTATAGAAATATAAGCTCTAAAACTCTAGATTTCGTGAAATACAATATCGATTTTCAACTTGGTATTCAAAGTGATTTTTGAAAATGTTTGTTTGTAAAAAGTGATATGAAAACAGAAATACGTGCTTCATATTGAAATGATCGGAGACAATTTCGCGACAATGTACCGACGTCTGTGTGACCTTTATTCTACAAAAAGATGTATACATGAAACATAATGTACACATACGATAAAAGCATAAATAAATGAATATTTTATGCCGTAATCGCGAGCGCGTGCGTCCTTTGATCATTGGCTCGACCCGTGCAGAACTCAAATCAACTAAATGCGTTTATTACCATATTTTGGATAAAATTAATTAATTTTCATAACCATTAATACAGTCCGCTTTATGGAAGCAAATTATCTTTAAATATGTATCGGATATAAAAGAAGAATATGTAATTGAAAGTTAAAATATTGTTTTAAACTTATGTACAGGATGTTTTAATGAAATTAAATTTTGAAGCTCTCTTCTAACTTTTTTTATCAAAGATATTTATCAAAGTTTCTTTTTCGCGATGAAAAAAATAATATCAATTCTTTAAGTATATTATTAATAACATATTTTCCAAAATTTATGCGTTACAGCATTTTTAGAAAATTGTATTTCAATTAACTCAGCTATTTTCCTTATTTTTCCTTACTTATTTGGTTATTTTTATTTGTATAAATACTAAAATTATGTAATTTTTATGTAAAATTTGTATAACTTATAACTCATTTTTTTAACAATCTTTTAAAGTACTTCATGAAAGAAAAAAAGAACTTGCTATCGTAGACTTTGCTTTAACAAGTTTTACCAACATTGATAATTTAATTTAGAAAAATTATTTTTATTCTTTCTCGCGTGTGCGTACCGTGGAAATGCAATCGTTTAGAGTAACGGCATTACGCAAACTCTCTCATCGTGAGAGCGAAAAAGTTTTCCTCGGTGTTTTGAGTTGACAGTACGCGAAGTAAAACCACAAAGAACGAACTGGCTGACGGCAGCCAGAGGTTGCACCGACTACGGGTGGTTGCAACGACACCGACGCGAATCGATCGTGTACATGTAAGGGGGGTTTTTTGTGACTCACATGGGAAGCTGACTGGGGGATGAGACTGAGTGTTGTGCGCGTTATGGGGGTGCCTCGGGGTAGGAACACGCTGCTTGCAAAAGCAGAGAACCGCCGCCATTACCAGACCGCCCATGCTGAGTATCAGAAAAACAAGGGCGATGGCGAACCAAGTAGTCTGCATGCCTAGGATCGTCGATGCCTCGGAGTCTAAAATTACAAGAAAAAATCGTTAATCACTCCGGGAAAGTCCAGTCTTTCTTTGAAACAAGATACGCTTTAGGTTAACAGAGATATAATGAAGACAACACATATATAAGGCAAAAAGACATGCTAATAATTCCTTAAATCCATTTTACTCAATACAGTACAGTTATAAAAGTATGCAAAATATTATTTATAAGTATGATTATATTATTATTAAAACTGCACACTAAAATGCAATCGTTTTATTTCAATTAATTTCATGAAATAAAATATCTGTAATTTCGATCTTTATTAAAATAAAATTCTTTATTAATATAAAATTTTATTTGCCAAAAATATTCTTTTAAGAAGAATATTTCCATGTACAATAAACTGTGGGAATCGCAAAAAAAAAATGATAAAAAAGTTATCTTTCTGCTGCAAAAAAAAAAGATATTAAGCATTACAAAGAATAACATTATTTACAACGTTTCATAGAAACCATACAAAATACATGTTCGCAACACGCGTGCACTTTCGACGAATCGAGAAATCGATATAGCGACATATACTTCATGTTTTACCGTTACAAGACACGATACTCGTAAGTAACGCGAGTAATAAAGAAAACTTTTATGAGGGACATTAAATTTTTAATAAATCGATCGTATACTATAGTGGTTGCGTGCAATGTTTGCGACAAAACAATAGCGAGAACTATACATGTGAGCTATTGCCGTTCTTGAACAATAAATTCTGCGAAAGTTGTTACGATCATTGTTGCAGAATTACAATGTAAAGTGAAATATGAAAAATAATATATAAGTAATATGAAATGTAATATATAAATAAAATGTAGCGCTAAAAATGATTTTAAATTTAATTATTTGTCTATTGATTGAATATATATATTGTTTGTTTTATTAACCGTCTGAAAATCAAAATAAGGAATACGGCGAATTAATAAAATAAAATATCAGTAAAATAAGCTAAATTTCTGCGAGTATTATGCGACGAGTTTGTAATTTATTCCGCTACTATTACGAGCTGCCCATGGATGTGTAATGAATACGCGGCAATTAACTTCTTTGGATATGTCGATGTGTGCACAGTTTTGGCCATTAACATAAATGTTATGTAAATTCGGTTCGCGTTTACAAGCATTTCTCTGCCGCGAAATTGCAATAGTTTCCCAGTCAAGTATAAAAATCGGGAAAACCATTACGCTTTGTCATTAGGAGCAGACGATAAATCACTGCGATATGTAATTATGATTATCTATCGGATGGAAAGTGAAAAATCAGAGTCTATTTAATTCCTCAAAGAAATGAAATTTTCGTTTTTCGATGAATTCCGTGAAAATTAATTTTTCTGTAAATATGTGATTTACGATTTGTAAAAATTGAGCTCCTCTTAACCTTTTAAATTATTTTATTCCAAATTAAAATTGTTTGCGCGATAGCAGCTTTTCATATGGTGGAGAGAATTCTTTTTTTTTTTTTTTCTTGAAATTCCGCGCGTTCTCTGTGTTTATTATCTCTTTGATACTTGAAGCTAACAGCATGTCTAACCGCACTAAATCATGCGAGATTATATCTCCGCGATCTAAATCGCTTTGCTCATTAAATATAGCGTGTCTCAAAAGATATGTGCACAAAGTTGCTTGATATACGATACGACTTGATGGCGAACATATTGATTTCATGTTAACTAGCACATTATTACCGTCTATATTGCTAATTACCAGCATCCAAAATAATAGTGTACGATACAATACATTAACAATCAATCGTTCTAGCAAGATATGAAGATTGTTAAATAATTTTGTATAATTTTTCTTTAATATTTTAATTCTAACTAAATCTAAAAAAAATTATGTAACTTGCAAGTTAGTGGCAATCGTTTCTCACACACTTAAAATTTTTAATTAATAAAGAATCAAATTTTTCAAAAGAGTCGGCAGTCAGTAATGAAACCGTAGTAATTAGAACTTACTGGCACAGAGGGTAGAGGTGGCCTCGTCAGATCCATCGCCACAGTGATTCACGCCGTCACAAAGGAGATCCATCTCGATGCAGAATTCATTTTGAGTGCATCGGAAATCCTTGCAAGTATGCTCTGCAAAATGACAGAATTTTCATTAATGCGTGAAAAAGACATTCCTCCATTATTTATAACATTTCTGATATAAACATATTTCGTTTTTATTTCATCAAAAAAAAAAAAAAAAAATGCTGATTACCATTTTATCTATCTTAATGAAGCTTCAAAAAAAAAAAAAAAATGCTGATTACGAATTTCGTCGAATTTCGTGTTTGTATCTTTTTTATCTTTTTTATCTGTATCTTCGTTTAATAAATATAAATACGTGTGGAGTTTAATTAATGCGAAACGCATTAAAGGCCACGGCGAAAAAATTATATACTTTCTTCATTCGCCCTCTCGCGCGAATGACCTCGTCGAAGGGTTGTACACCCCTCGTGCCGAGCACACTCTCCGATAGGCAAAACTTCAATGACAGGCTATTTTAAGAACACCCGAGAAGCTTTTCGCGTACAGTCTTTTACGTAATTCTTCACGAAGCAGAAATATTCATAGCGTTTTATACATATAAGTATTTCTGAAAAATAACAAGGTTTCTTTATACAACAAAAAGTTTCAAAGGAGAAAAATAATTAATTGAGAATAAAGTAAAATATCCGCAGTGAAATAATGTAATTACTTTCGAAGGAAATAAATTGTTCTCGCGATCAGTAAATTAATTAAACTGACATGACAATTAATAAACTAATCGAGTTTAAGGAATATACAATAAAGCATATCGAAAGAATATTTTTGGAAATTAGAAGACCAGAGAATGGCAGGAACAATATTTGATTCAATGTAAATTTAATTTTTTTTTATTGATATTTTCGATGTATAAAAATATTTTAAAAAATAAAGAAATCGATCACAACATTTATAGCGCTGAAATAAAATCAAAGCATGAATATATTTTCGATATCACTCGTAAAAAATGTGCAAGTTTTATTTCCATTGAATTTTATTTGAAAGTCTTGAATGGAACGGGACGAATGGAATATAGATTACGCTCGATGTGCACACATTCAAATATAACGTAACAAATCTGTGCTTCGATTCTCTCGCCGGTACATTATTAATAGCTTAATGTCGGTGCGCTCTCATAAAGAACAAATTTAATGAGATGTCCGATGAGATTGCGGGATGATACGATTAATTATGGCCTGGTGTGCAATTTGAATATCGGCCCATCTGCCGGGTTACAGTTCATCGCGCTATTTAATATGAAATTACTGGCGATCGAGACCAGTAGATAGATTCGTCCATCGTTTCGCGGGAAAATTAGTTACGACCAGGTGTGGGTATAAAAAGCAATTGTCTGATTTAATTACAACGATGAGCACAGGCAAACGCACAGGAGACGTACTTGATATAAAGGCATTTGCGCGCGCGCGATTTAATTACAACGATCGCGCTTGAAACTCGAGTTTGGCATTAAGCTAATGGCTTCGATAAGTTTAGCCTTTTACTAATTGTAAGCTCAGGATACGTAGATAAACTTTTTCACTACTTATATATATATATATATAGGTGCAGTGATATATATATTTATTTAAAAAAATATACGGGGTGTCCCAGAATTAGACAAACTTTAGATGGTTATAAAGGACACCAAAACAATTCAATTTTGCCAATAAACCCGTGTCCGTAAATGAGTCATTTTGGCACTAGAAAATCAAAGACTAACAAGGGAACCTCATGAATCCGAGAATTCTGATTTTGATGAAACTTTATACTCATGGAGGGATAAATAGATGAATTTAGAAATTTCCAGTTGCGGCTCAAAAACAATTTTAAGGGGTGAAATCATCTCTCATATGTAGAGCGGTTTTTTGCTTTTTTCGATGTATCTTGAAAATTATTCGAGATATCAAAAAATGTTTTATATAAAAATTTCATGGTAAAAACACCTCTATTCAAACACATTAATTAAATTTTTAAAAAATTAAAAAAAAAATTTTTTTCGTTGTTGATCTTTGATCCTCTAATTACAATACTCAAATACTCAACTGCACAGAGAAAGAAATTTCATCCCTCCCCGAAAACCTCAAGTCGCACTTTCAATTTCGTCCTGAGACAGACTCTCGTCTCTTGCAACCGTTCTCTCTCTTGACTATAAGAATACTATACGACTCGCCGTCGTGTTTCTTCACGTATCCTCCCTCACAATTTTTCGCAAGTCATGCTTACAGCGCGCTCGTCTAATCGCTCCTAAATCGCTTGATTATTTCACTTCGAGTTATCGATTGTCTACCTTATCGACGACTCAGGCAATATCTAACGCTTACGTAATGAAATCTCGAGTTCCCGTAAATGCTTTGCATACTACATATGATATATTAAACTGTTATCAAAATTCAATTTGCAGGAAAAAGAAAGAGAGAGCGATGTTAAATATTTGTTTTCTTAAGTCCTTGTGACAGAAATATTTATCATTTCTCGTAAAATGGTTTACGCCAAAAATTTCCCTTATAAATTTAATTATTACTATTAATTTAATAGAATTTGTATTTTTATTTCATTGTAATGTTGTAACAACAGAATCGATGATCAAATGTGATGAACCTACATCGTATTTTACAATAAGGATATCTCACATACTCGATATTTACGCTTTTGAGCAATTTTCAATCGCACGGAAAGCGCATTTCTGTCGCATTCTTGAGCATCGAACCGTCGTAATTCTTGAGACATCTGGTCTAATTACGGTCCAACTCGTGGAATGCGAGTAATAACGAACGATAACTTTCACTATTCGTGAAAAAGCGTACATTGGACGGCGAAGACAGCGATTCTCCGCGTTCCCTCGCTGGCAATTATAACTCTTCGAGGTCTTTTGGAATCGTAGGATGGGTGATAAAAGGATCGACGGCGATTTTCGAAAAGATAAAGTGCGATAGCACGAAAAAACCCGCGGACGGTTGTAATTTTACGTAATTTAATAGTTGAGATCCTTCCCTTTTTCCTTCCATTCTCGAACTTTCATGATTCGCCGTCATTTCCGAGTTTTTGCAGGAGTTCTAGCAAAAAGAGGATCAGAGAATAACGTTTAATAGCGATTAGAGACAATGGTGGGCATTTTATTCAGATAGCAGGATATGCCAAATGCAGAATCTTTTTCACGAGAAATTAATAATCTTTTCCAGAGAGATTATAAATAATCCGGTTCTTCTCTCGATATTGAAAAAATATCGCGTATTACATGTAATGATCCCAAATCACATAACGTCAACGGGATGAAGAGGGTGAGAGAGAGAGGAAAGTGGCGGGAACGACTGTATGTACCGACACCCGCGATAGAGTCAATGTTTAACCTCTAGGATTGGCCAATCATTTAACGTCGGACGGTAGACGACGTATACACGCTCAAATATGCTCAATACACCGATGAAATTAACAGTCGTGGCTGAGCAAACGGATGCGTAGTCACGCCGTGTCGCTGATGTGCAGTAATACCAAGTGTTATGCGCGCATTGACACACGCGTGTACACGCATTTGCACAAGCTTATAGGCTTGGTGGATTTGCACGTGCACATGGTGAAAACTAGGAATACGTATGCGGAATCTGGGAAATTTGCTCGCATTATAGGAGCAGAGATGCAGAATTTTTATCGATGACAGCACGTGTATGAAGTACCTCCTCGGAACAATTTGATAATTTTTAGCTCCTTATTCAATTACGTTGTATTTAATTATTGACACACATTCTGATTAAGGATGTTTTGGCTGTACAATAGTAGCAAAAAATTGTAAAAATTAAAAAAAAAAAACCAAATATTCCTTACGTTTATACTGTTTGAAAAATCAAATAAATAAATCTAGATCATAAAAAAATTAAAGTATCACAAAATAATATGGTTTTTAACGTCTTCGTAAAAGAAAATAGTTGTAATTAATATTTTTCTTAATTTATGACAAAAACTTTTGATCTGATGCTGGATACCCCCTAAAATCAACTACAAGAAACAAAAAAAAGCGAGTAATTTGCAGCAAGAGAAAGAGAGAAAGATAAAATTTTTAGTAAATAACTTTTAAACGAGTAAGTGGATCAAAATCAAATTTTGCACAAGTATTTATTAGAGTTTTCTTAATATATGTGAAAATTTTTATTTCGTTGGCAATGTTTTTTCTTTGTCAAATTTGTCAATAAGTGCTACAATACGCGATTTTCCATAAAGATCAATACTAATTTTAAACTTAAATAAATTGCAAACCGTTAAGAAAATTGTGTTCTGGTTTTACACAGATACTCAGAAGAAATAATAGAACATTCTATGAAATTTTCATGCTTTTATCAATGTTTGACATATGACACATACATCCTTAAAAACTTGCATTTAACATCAAATTATAAAATATATTAATGTTGAAAAATTGAAATTCATAATAAAGTTTAAATTCTTGTAACTCTCCCATGCGTGTTTTTGCATTTTTTAAGTTTGCATAGATATTCGATAAGCGATGATAAGAGAACGTGTGTTTGATATGTGCAGGAATAAAAATATCGAATTAATTATGTTATTGAACAAAAGATAAAGCATCAAAGGTAATTTCCGCATCGGCGCAAGAGTATCAACTCTTTGAACTGAAGCGAAATTCACCTTTTGCTTCCCAGAAGGATCTCATTAAATCCTATCCTGAGATATACTTACATGCAAGAACATATGATAGTATCATGTTAACGTTGCATAAATAATGCTTTTGTAATATTTTGAAGAACATGCAATTTTACAACCGATGGTATATGTTTACGGTTTTGTTACACGTAAATTATAAAAAAGTATGAACATAACTTTTATATGAATATAAATGTTTTTTTCAGAAGTTTCACAAATATTACAATGTTCCACAGATTAAGAGAGAATTTCTTTCTTAATTTAAGAAATATAATATATAGGAGTCTTAAAGCAAATATTTAGAAATTGTATAAAATACGGATTGTAGCTATATTTTTGTAATAGAAAGAGACTGTCCCGTGTTCGGAATGCAAGTGATTCAAGCGAGCGATATTGTTAGAGAGATGTAAATAGAAAAA